AGAATATTATGGTAAAGTGAGACTATTGTGAAAGGATCATTATACAACACAAAGTTTTAGATAAAGTTTTAGAACACCAAATATTTTCCAATGTTATCCATCCATTCATCCATTATCTATACTGCTTATCCTTTGAGGGTTGCGGGGGCTGGAGTCGATCCCAGCTGACATTGGGGGAATGGTAGGTTACACTTTTGTTTTGCTTTCACCTTCTGGTCCAGTTCGTCTTAAACCACCTCCACAGGGATCAAGTCTGAAGGGATCAAGTCTGAAGTTTTCAAATCTTGTGAAGCTTCTGTCTGCTTCTGTTCTTCTAATGTTTTGGAGCATTACATTTCTGTGTGATGAACCAACCTTCATTACCGGTGGAAATCTTCAGTATCCTGCAGGCCAGTATGGCTCTAATAATTCATCAGAAGGTGTCCTAACAGTTTGCTCTTACTGCCTTTGAGGTTTTTGTAAGCTGCCTGTAGGAAAGCTGTTCAATTCTAAATCCCTGGAAAATGATTCTGCTACAGAACATGATTTATTTTTACCTTGTGTATTTTACCATTTGTTTGTATGATTTAAAGATTAATGGCTTACATTTTAACACAAGAAATGAGGATGGTCCAAAACTTAATGTTCGTTAAAGTAAAATATGAGGAGATGAAATAGAATTTCTGTGATAGTCAGATGTTTCACACTCTGCTCCTTCGTCAATTATTCATTCCTGTCGACTCATGTGGACCTGATAGTTCAGAGTCGTTACAAATTCATCAGAGATGTTCCGATGTTCAGACATCTCCTCTCAGGATGTTGCTCTGTACTCTCTGCCACCCCCCCCCCCCCTTCTGTATAAACACATGTTGAGTCCTGATGCACACTGGGTGCAACAGACCATCTCTTCCAGTTTGGCCAAAAGAAACAAACCACATAACCGGTAGTGACAAACTAACAAAATGTTTGCCACTAGCCTGTTTGTCTACATCCATCTGGAGAGGAGCGGAGGGGAGAGCAGAGGAGAGGAGCGGAGGGGGCAGGGCCGCAATATTTCTGCGTAGATCAAATGAATAAACTCTTTGAAAGAAGCACAAAGAAAATCACATTTCCCTATTTCCTCACATCACAAAGATCCATCCGGCACCTCAGGGCCACCATTTTTCAGCCTTGGGGTTTTTCTAAAGATTAATTTTTTTAACATCGAGCACAAGGTTTTGGACGTTTCTCTTTCAATAACAACCAAACTTGCTGTTTAGAAAAGTAAATTGAAGTAAAGGGAAGGAGTTCCTTGCACAAGACAAACCAAATGTACACTTAAAGGTCAGGTGTGTAAGATTTAGCTGAAAGGGGAGCGGGTCCTCTCTACGGAGGCCACCATGTTTTTTTTACGATAGTTCAAACTACAAACGAAACACTTTTTATGACAACTGAAAGCTACCACAGGTTCTCTGTCATGTTTGGAAGGGGAGGGTGAGGTGAGGGGTATTCAGCTGCAACATGACACTAAATTCTACACACTGAACCTTTAAATTCTGCTGTATTCATTAACATCACATGTATGGAGGGAGATGTACATACATGCTGTACTAGTACTGGTAGCACTCACCTTAAGAGAGTGGTGCTTGCTCTCATGTAGTATCATCTCCTCAGATATGATGAGCGTTCGGCTGCACAGGTCAAGAGGCTGCAGGGAGAAGAGCAACAGATAACACAGACAGGTTAGGACATCAAGGTTGTGGACATTATTCTGAGGCTCATTCTGCTATAAATGATACTTTTGGGTTCTCTGTGTTAAGCATTTCCTAAGATAAAATTATGGAGGAAAATATTGCACTTAGTAAAAAGAAAGTTGTGGTACCAAATCCATTTCAGCTCCAAAATCCAAATGCTCTCCTAAACAGCTAAGAGGGAGTCTTTTTTCTTTCTGCTATGAGAAACACAAGTGAAAAAGTTTCTATGAAGATAGACGGCGAGCTGTGAGGCGCTATGTGTGGTCTGAGTATGACGAGACACTGACAATAAAATGAATAGCAAGTACAGGGGAGGAGGGGACTTCCTCATAAGTCCAGGGTAAAAAAAAAAGTGTGTGTGTGGTCAGGGTCGCATGTTTCTGTATGAATTAACAGGAAGAACCACTGCAGTCACCGCATTTTGAACGTGTCAATGCTTCAAGGACCCAACGATACCAACAGTGTCACGTCTGACAGTAAACAGCTACATTACGACATTTATTTTGCAATGACACATGATCTAAAATAAATTCCATCTGTTTCCCCACTTGGGTTATTTCACCATTAAATCTTTCTAAATATCATATTACACAATACATATATATCATGTTCTTATTATCATACTAGACAGAATATATATTATTGGTATTCATTTATAAAAATAAGTCTTTCTGGTCAATTATATCAGAATAAAAATAAAATATATATATATATATATATATATTAGTGTAGTAATAAACTTTTTTTATGCACACAGCTGAACTTTTGTATATTCTAGTTAGGCATTTTGGGAGATACACATATTCGCTTTTTGGTGAGGATTAGGACCCATTGATGTGAAAAGGATAAGAGATGGGTCCCAACATACATACTGTTGACTACAATGTGATTATTATTTAATAACAAAGCTCTGGACAATTTTGATGCATCAAATTTTAATATAAAACCACCAACACTCACCATTATTAAAAACACATGTATTAACACAAGTTGTCCTACCTGAACAAAAATGGGGAAGATAAGGATCTTGGGTGCCACCTTCACGTATCCATAATTGCCATGTGGAGTATGCGAGCGGACAATTGTGCAGTTCTGGTAGTTTGCAAAGTTGGCGTTCTGCTGCTGGTAGTTGGATCCACCTGCATTCGTGGAGGTAGAGGACGTCTTTGTCGTCTTGGAGTTGTTAGACCGTCTTAGGAAGCCAGTGCGGCTTGAGAATCCACCACCACTGCTGCTGCTGCCGCCGCCTCCTCCTCCGCTCATACCGCCAGAATAAGCAGAGCGTCCACCACCAGTCTGGGTTTGGGGTTGTGGACCAGAGGCCTGACGTGTTGGGTATAACCTGGCTGCTGAGGAAGAAAAAGAAGATGATCATTGAAGATCATTACCACTCTTATATGTACAGATGATATTAAATCTAGGGAAAGAGAAAAACATAAAGATTGCTAGAAGCTAGCCTGATAATATAATCTGTCTACCAGCAATGTCCACACATTGTCTGCGTTTGTTAAATATGTATAAAAGCTAGCACAAATAATAGAGAGGAGCATCGAACCTCTTGGTAAGAGAGCAAATTAAAATATGTTATTTTTCTGAGCAAGCGTACCGGACATTACATTTGGGTCAGAGTTTGTCCAGAAACACAAGAGGTCAGGATTCAACTATTCAAAAGTTCTAGGAATTCAATTAAAATGGAACGAGCAAGATTAATTTTTTAGAGGTCAAGAGCTGAAATATTTATTTCCTGTCTCAGTGTTTTTGGGTTCACTTTGCAAGCTCCATGCTCCAGCTTATATGGATTCAAAGAGGTGGACACATAAATGATATTTACACTGTAAATATATTTGCAAAGAAAACTAGAGATAATCTAATGTAAGTAATTTAGAACAGAATTGTCTTAAAGTGTTGCAGTCACTGCAGTTTAACAATTTAAGTTACCAGTTGTTTAAGGGAATTATATGGCATTCAATAAATTAAAGGTAACCTGAACCGTGGAGTGAAAAACATCTCATTTAACACTGGGCTACCTCCAAAACAATAGCAGAGTAAAGCCAATTTAAACTGTGGCTCTCAGCCAAAATACCCAACAGTAGAAATAATAACAAAACACTGCAGGAGTGTGAAAATAGCATGCACGTCTTACCTAATGTTCCCTGGTTGTCTTGGTAAACAGGCCTTAAGATCTGAAAGAAGAGTAATATGAAATAACATTATTATTAATACAGCTTAACTTCAGACAGCTAAAGCAATGAGGTAAGATAGTGTGTACAGGGAAATACAATATAAACATATTCTTTAATTTCTATGTGTCGTCAATTATGTCATTAAATATTTGGATAAGCAAAGGGTGTGATGAGACACATTTCCTTATTATAACAAAAGAGAAGTGTTCTTGTAGATTTTTCTTTTCTCTAAATTCATAAAGTTCGGGTTTTCTTCGCGTCATGCACTTTAACTTTCACTGCTGCCGGGCCATGAGTTTGTGTTTGGCCATCAAGCTGGACAATATCATCAGCAGCCTCTTGCATGACATTGAATCTAGTTTTCCAGGACTCAGCTGAGCCCGTTTGGGTCGTGCGGGACTCAGTGAAGCAGTGATGGTTTCTCCCTGTCATGACAAATTACAGTCAACTGAGGGAGCAAAGAGAGAAAGCTGCCATCACGTCACGTTGTTCATTTTAATACAGGATGTGAACTAAGGAGTGGGAAAGCCGCAAAATTTAAAAACGTATCATCAGGAGGTTTTTATTCCACCAGATTATTCAGATAAATACAAACTGTCATGTGGAGGCTTTATGAGTTTGTATTGTGTCGTTGTGATATGTCACCGACATGACCTATTTCCACAGGGGCTTTTTGTATTTTTAGCTGGCAATGACCACCACCACATTGCACCAAATTCTTGATCCTTTATAATTTGTGTGATAGAAGCAGTGGCTGTTTGAAGGAGTATTCTTTTATTCACTTCCTCCTCCCCATATTTCCAAGACACTTTTTTTTTACAGTGTATTGTCATTTCCTTGAATTAGCTTCTCCTCTTCTTTCTGAAATCAGTATCATCTCATGTCTTTTATAATGCACTATATTGTTCTTTATCTAAACCAGAACCTGACAAGCATTGGCTGATGAAGATGGACACTGCATGATGAGCAGACACACACACAGCTTCAAGTCACAAGCTCAGTAGGATCAAACAGAGAGGAAGAAATGTGTTAATGAAACAATGTAGTTGGTTAGAAATGTTTTGGAAGTTTGGAAAAACTACTCAAAGATTGAAAATTGAACCTAGATTCTAATCTCTAAAAGACAAAGGTTTCTGCTGCAGGGACTCAAACACATCCTGGACCTTTTGGTTGAACATGTTAGTCATCCTGAGGATGTTAATTTATTGGGTTAGTATTTTTATCATTATGAGTTTGTTAGCTGAGGAATTCAGTTCAGTCTTTTTTGATTTAATGAGTTTGCTTTATTTTGTTTTTACGATGAAAACTTTTAACTCATATACATGATGTCACTATAGATGCATCCATAAGTACACGCTATATAAAACATTATGTACATGTCATACTGTGCATGTACATACATGTTATACTTGTAATGGACCAGTCTTGGAATGTTTAATTGTTAAAGTAATATTTGTTTCCTTTCTTAAATGCCTGAACTATTTGTTTTTGATATTCTGACATATAAAACATGGCACAGGTGATTCAGCAATAAGTTATCTATAAGATAAATGATCTCAGATACATAGCATTGTTTTCCTAATATGAAAAGTGTTCAACTGCCAAAAGCTTAACATAATATAGGCACAATTTATTATCAACAGCTGCATTTTATGTTATCGTCTCCTATGGCTTCCTGTAGCTGCAGGACTGATCTATATGTGTTATGTTCAAGACATGTTGTAAAGCACAAATCAGTGAGACGGCAGTAACCCAGACAAGCTGTAAACACAGTCCTTCTATCTACCAGCACCAGGGATGTAAGGTAAGGAGACATATCTAGGATGAGCCATCATATGACCATGGTGAGGATGAGGAGGACGAAGAAGATGATGAAGGTGCAGCCCACCACCAGCCTGCGGTACCTGGCTTCCAGGGTTGATGGGCGCCAGGATGATGTAGTTGTCCCCGTTGGAGGCCTTGACCCTGGTACCCTTCAGTGTGGCAGTGTGCGGGTGGTGGAGATGTCGCGGCTTCCCGTCCAGCTCCTCAGCAGACCCCCCCTGGGCCCCCCACGCGAGGGTCCCCATGCCTAAGCCGCTGCTGTTTCCAGGTTCAGAGCCATTGACCAGCAGCCTGCGGGCGGCAGTGGCACGGTGGTGAGCGGGGAGAGGCGGCACTGCAGGCGGGGTTTTGCTGGTGCCAAGATCCGGCGCACGCCTGCGGGTAGGGGGCGAGGGGGTGTCATAGTTTGAGGTGGAGGGCTTGTACGAGGGCCGGTGGATGAGGCCCTCAAAATTAGGTTTAGCTGAGGGGCCGGTGCGCCACACCACCACCTTGATTTCATTGGTGCTGTTTCTGCAAGAGAAAGAAAGAAAATGTTGAATGAAATCTGGAGGAGTGGATATGATACGTATATATTTTGTGAAACAGATTTTTCGTTAGAATATTGAATAAGTAGTATTACTAAATAAAAAGTGAAAAGTTCTTTGGAAAATGTATTTGAATGTCTATTATGAGAAGAAATTCACAAAACCAAAAATATCTACATCTATTCTGTTATGCTAATTTTTACTGCATCATTTAATACTGTGTATCTCACATGGGACAACTCCAAGAGATGAGGAACAACGTTTCAAACACCTGACAATTTAACTTAAATTATGTTGATGACTCCTAATGAATCACTGCATCACAATATCCAATCCCCACCTGACCTCACTGTAACTGAATTATCTATTTACACCGTGGGTCTAACAGATAATGTCTCTCAGTCAATTAGATAATCATTACTGATCGCTCGTCCTGAGTCCTCGATAAGCCTTTCATTCTCTCAAACAATTTGGTGCTAATTGTCCCATAATCCTCTCGTGTACTGGATTTGGGTATTACCTGATCGCGTGGGCTAAGTCCACACACTTCCACTGCTCCACTGGCTGCCCATTTAGCTGCAGGAGAGTGTCCAACTGTTGCAGACCTGCCTGATCTGCTGGACCCCCTGCCAGAGTGAAGAGACACAAAAATGTATTCATTAATTTTACATCTTATAAGCACCACTCATGCAATCCATGGATAGAATTGACTTTATTTATAATACTTGTTCTTCCAGTCTTAGAGGTACAGAACTGCAAATGACTGTACACATGAAACAATAAGGTAATAACTGAAGCTAAGATACACCTGATATGACATGAAACTGTTTGAATCTCTCCACTAGGACTGGAACGAAGGATCAGCTCAATATTCAGCATCTCCTTCAATCACATGGCTGCAGGGTGAACCACTGTCAACATGAGAGCTTCACAGACAGGCTCCTCATTAACTGCTACACCCTGCTGACTGAGTCAGCCCCTTAATGCTAATGCATTGAAAAAAAAAAAAGCATTGCCCACAGGTGGTGTATGAAACTTTCATGATGTATGAGGTGCATGCATCAGATTACAAACAAGAGCAACCTTCACTGTAAAATAAAATATTACCATATTGTTTACACAGTCTAGTAACTTTAAATTGGAATAGTGGGGGGGTTGGGGAAATCAATAATTAGGTCATGTCATCAATATTAAAACTAAAACTCAATTGAAAGTCCTGCGAATGAAAATGAATCCTAGTCAAACAATATTAACATCTTTGGCAAAGCATTTTGTTTTGGCTTCTTTTAAAGGAAGAATTGTATGATTTTGGGTGTTTGGTGTATGAATGAGAATTTGTAATGAGAAGCACTAAGTAAAAGTTAAAGTAAGCTTGTTTCGTCTTTAAGGTATTTAGGTCCTACGACCGAGCAGAACAGGAAAGACCTCAACGAAGCCTCTCTCTGGAAAGACAGATCCCAGGAGACTGACATGTGCATGCAAACTCGCCTGGATCAACAGCCTGTACCCTCACAGGGGAATCAGAGCAGATGGTGAAGCCATATCCATCCTTTCCTCGAAGGATGGTCACCTGCAGAACACACACACACACACACACACACACACACACACACACACACACACACTCATTAAATTATTACATTAAACACAGATACAATCTTATTCTTTCTCCCTCTGCCTGAGAAACCAAAGGCAACATGCTGGCAAAAAAATAAATAAACTCCCTTCCTACAGGACGATGAAGTAGATTTGGATTCCGGCGTCTACTTCCTGTTAAAACTCATAAGAGAAGAAACCCGGTGAATTCAATTAGCTGAAATAATGTGAAATACAACTCTGATAGATGGAAAAAGGTGTTCTAGGTTCTGTAGCAGTCTCTAACGCAAGCAGATTACGTATATCGCTTTGAAACACAAAGTCTCTCACACAATAACATGTACAAATTTCAACAATAAAGAAAGATTTTTAACAGTCATAGACACAACAATTACTAATATAGAGCACTTGGCACACAGCAAGTAACAAATCCTGAAACATTCATTTAAAAGAATTTCATATCAAGTAATGTATGAGCCGTCATTTAACTGAGTTTATAATCTATTGTCAGAATATTTTTTAAACATAGAGATAAGCAGCTTCCCACAGGAGAGTAAAGATTGTCATGTATTGCATCTCTGCCTAACGTCAGACTGTTGTGACATGTATTTCTAGTGTCCAATTCCAATAATCCAAGTCTTTAGTTTCAAAAAACAAATGTGAGGACAGATTTAGCAGGAATCAATTCATCAAATCCAATCAGCAATGCAAAAAATGTGCCAAATCTCAACATCGAGGCACGAAGACAGTGTTTGTCTACTCCAATGCACCAGATCAACACACCAAGTACACACACAGATAATGCTGATCTCTCTTTCCCATTGTGTTTCTCTTTGACCCCGACAGCGTCATTCAGTACCTGTGCTCGAACCTCGGAGCCAAAGTCAACAAGGTTCCATCCAAAACATCTCACTTTCCAACCTTATCTGCTGACAACCACAGCTCATAACACGCAAAATACACACACACAACCCCGCCATCCCTCTATCTTTTTCTAGCACAGGAAAGCTACAAGAATATCCTGCTAAATTACAAAGTCTACCCATGAGCAAGATGCAGCACAGGGAGAAATAATAGGGCTTATTCAGGGGCCTGAAGCTCATGATGACCCTAAAATGTCGGGTACGATTGTGGTCTCTTATAGTCCACTGATTTTCTGTGCCCTATGTCAAACTGTGTGGGGACACATTTTCTCCTCTTTTTTTTTTTTTTAAAACCACATTTCTATTCTCTTTAGCAGCTCTTATTTGTCTCCATTTCCTTTTGAAGTGACACAGCTGAAAATATAATGGTCACGCTAGAGACAGAAAGACAACTGCGGTCTTCTGTTTTTAATCTACATGTACGACATGAGTCAGACACTTCATCTACTCTTAGGTTAATTCATTCAGTTGCAGCAAGTAAACAGACTGAACACAAAGATGGACGACATGACAGCGCCCCACAAAGTGAAGGCGAAGCATCCCCATCGCCTCCTGGTGGCTAGTTGCAGTTTATGCAATTAATTAATCTGGCCTCCTCCATATTAATAGTTGGGATATGAGCCAAACAGTTCTTATCACACTGATGTTCAAGAGTTTGGTTTTAACCATTTGATGATAGAAAAACAGGGTGAAACATCCTGACTGACAGCTGAGACCGACTCGTGATTGGTCGAGCGTGTCGACAGGACCTTAGTGTCATCACATGATTGCAACTGTGCAGACTCTAGGTCCAAATAGGCAAGATGGCAGTGTTTGTATCTGGGATATTTTATCTTAATTTCGAGAGTGGGAGGAAATTGAGATGCTTTGTCCATCTTAATTTAGTCTATGATCTGTGATGCTTGCTACTTTAATGATAAGAGCTTTGACCTTATTCCTCTGAGGCTGAAACATCACAGACACACAACTCTTACTCTAATTCAGAACTGAACCTAAAATAAGTAGAGACAGTATTATACTTGCTAAACCTGTGGCCGTGCTCTGCTTTGATATTTTTGTATTAAGACAAGGCCGAGTACAAACTAATCATCCTTGAGTCTGGCTGTGTGACTAAACCAGAGAGAGAGAGAAAATAATGTTCAGAAAATGAGATGGAGAGAGATGGAAAAAAACGATAAACTGGGATAAAAACAAAAGAGATGGATTAAACAGTGGTGGAAGAGGGCAGTGCTGGTGGTGACGGAGCAGATGAAAAGACAAATTGTGGAACAGATGGGATTTAAAAAACGTTTCTGTGGAATTAAGGCAAACAGTCAGAACGAGAACGTTGTGTAGGATGCAATTTAAGAAAATGGTAAAAAGCTCAAATTAACTGTGCTGAAAGAAAGAGAGAGAGAGAGAGAGAGAGATCTATCCATCTCTCTTTTTTAACAAAAGATGTTTCAGACATGGTGTTCCTTTTCAAGAGGAACTCTCTGAGCTGCCTAATTTCAAATGATTCATCCAAACTCCAGAGCTTTTACAGCATTAATTCAATTTGTGAGCTTTGTGGAGTCCAAGCACTTGTACTCACTCTGGTCTGCCAAAGAAAAGCAGCACCCCCCCCCCACTTCCTACTTCTAAAAGAAAACAGGGATTAATCTCAAGAGAACAGTAGAATAATATAATACATTGGTACAATTGTTCTTTAAGTTAACTGGTTGTTTTTTTTTACTACATCCTCAAGACAATTTTCTGAAGATAAATTAATAGAAAACGTTCTTAGGATGCATTAAATGAGGAGGGTCTTCTCGATAAATCGATTATTCAATCAAACGGCATGCGGAAGAAGAAAATACAAAAATATGAACTTTCTTGTATCCCAATGGGGGAAAACCCGTGTGTGTATGAGTTCATGCCTGTGTGACCAAGCTTTCCCCTTTTTACATTCATGCCTCGGTGCACCACCATCCTCTCAGACACGACCGCATGAAGCCGGGAGCAAAGAAATAAATCCTGCCGGGATGATTTCAGTACAAGTCTTGTCTGCCTTCCAACACAGCAGCAGAGATAACATTCACTGCCAACAGGTGTGCATACAACTAATAAAAATCTACCAAGTGCACACAGCAGATCAACTGTACTGTGTGTGGTTAGACAATGTTATCTGGGTCAGTATGTTGAGTGACTAAGACACTGCAGTCGCACATAGGACTGAAGTGCCGTGCTGCATTTTGGTCACGTTAACCCAGTCAATATTCTCTCTGAGTCGCTGCTGCAGTCTTTTAATTCTGTTATAGTCTTAATAAGCTGTTCCACCCCAGTGTCATGTTTGGTTTCCTATTCTTTCAATGTGCATTTCAGATGTGCACAATGTGGCATCACTTCATGTCACAGCAAATATTTGTCTCGTCTCATCCACTCCCACTCTCCCTCCATCAGCCCCTTCTCTCACCATGAGAAGGATAAATAATGTAAATGACAGAGAGAGCTGCTCTTCACCTCTCAGGAACAACATCCTCTAAATCTCCTTCGTTTCGCTTACAGGCTGTTGTTCCTTTCCGGAGCTGTTGGGCACGCAGCTGAAAGTGCAATTTCTCCCACTCAGCGAAGGCAAAATATTTGGATGTGACAGTACGCAAACAGAGATATTACCATTTTAATTTTTCATGAGCAGCTTTTTCTGCTTATGCCGTTTATAAATTATAGAACACAATTTATCTCCTGCCAATCAATTATGAAAGCAGTCCGCAGAGATTGTAACTTTCCAAGCCTTAATTCATTCTTCCAGTCTCTCTCTCACACAATCACTGGTTGATACCGTGCGCTCGACCCACGTTTTCTCCTTTTCTATCTTCCTCTCTCTGAAAAAGACACACCTGTGGCAGCCTACATCCAATGCACAGGTGGCACAGCCCGTGGATGGTGTGCACGACACCTCCACCTCCTCCTCTTCCTCCTTCCCCAGCGTTCAAGTCCGCAGCTAGCACACACACACTGCGACGGTGACTTTCCACCTGGCCGCCCCCTCTGCAGCCCGAGTATCTCCACAGCCTCCTCTGTGCGGGTGAGTGTGTGCTCCTGGGGCTGTGCTCCAGAGGCTGGGAGCACTTCAGGGTGTTATGGATCATCTCAGCAGTGACGGCAGCCAACAAGAGCGGCTAAAGTGGCAGTGCAGTCCAGCAGTAGATGGTTGCCGACAGCAATATTGTTTCTCACTCTGCTGAAAAACAGGAATCTGTCGAGTATAACAAAAATGGTCCTTGGAGATGTTTTTCAGCCAAACTGGCTGTCGCTCTGCATCAGCTTTCTTCAAATGAGCCTAGATTTATTTTCCTGGTGGCAGCACTCTGCAAACTGAACTCCAGCTGCACTCTTGTCCATTCAAGGTTTGTTTGCGACAACTCCAGTCATTAATGAATATTCCAGTGTGCAAGTTTCTACGTCTGTACCCCTCATTTTACCCAAAGCTTCACGTCTCCCTCGTGATTTCTTTTGAAAGTCAAGTTCAATGATCCCTTTCCTTTAGGTTTTCATTCTTCTTCCCTCTTCTTGCATTGGCCCTGTCCCATAAGACAGTGTCCAGCTTCTTGCTCTGTGGCCTGAACGCTTGCAGTAGAGCCTCAGATCAGCTGTCTGAGAGTATGCAGCGGTGGTGGCGGCGTCATGTAGGCGAGACTGGCGCTGGCTCAGCCTGCTCGGGCCACACTGTAGCTCCTGGCTGGGGCACTCATGGGAACTCTTCAACAGCAGAAGAATAGGAGGAAGTTCCTCCCACCACCGCCACCCCCCCCCATCCCCTCTACACACATACACATGCACTTGTGCATACCTCACCACCCCACAGCCAGGACAGCTTTGTGTGCCTGCCCCCGATAAGGCCAGTTTACTTCCTGAGTCCACACTATGAGGTTGAGAGAGGTGCTATAGCTCTGTCTTTGGCAAATATACACTGTAGTGACTCACATAGGTGGCACAAGTGTGACGGGTATGAATAAGAGTGAGTGAGACAGGATTTTTATTAGGAGTGGTTGAGCAGAAAGGAGTATTAAAAACCATTGGAAGTGGATTT